GAAATCGTAAAAAGCCCTCAGTTTTTGAACCTCGACCACGCGAATCTCCGCAGATGGTCGCGCGCGCACCGCAGAAATCGTAAAAAGTCCTCAGCTTTTGAACCTCGACCACGCGAATCTCCGCAGAGGGTCGCGCGCGCACCGCAGAAATCGTAAAAAGTCCTCAGTTTTTGAACCTCGACCACGCGAATCTCCGCAGAGGGTCGCGCGCGCACCGCAGAAATCGTAAAAAGTCCTCAGTTTTTGAACCTCGACCACGCGAATCTCCGCAGAGGGTCGCGCGCGCACCGCAGAAATCGCAAAAAGTCCTCAGTTTTTGAACCTCGACCACGCGAATCTCCGCAGAGGGTCGCGCGCGCACCGCAGAAATCGTAAAAAGTCCTCAGTTTTTGAACCTCGACCACGCGAATCTCCGCAGAGGGTCGCGCGCGTCTAGCAGCAATCGTAAAAAGTCCTCAGTTTTTGAACCTCGACCACGCGAATCTCCGCAGAGGGTCGCAATCCCGAGCGACGATCAAACTCCCGCCCCGGCGCCTTCGAAACCTAAACTAACTTACATAGCTGCTAACGCCGAAGCTCTAAGCTCTACCTAACCTTGGCTCTATGTAACTTGGCTCTATGTAACTTGGCTCTATGTAATAACTTGGCTCTATGTAATAACTTGGCTCTATGTAACTTGGCTCTATGTAACTTGGCTGTATGTAACTTGGCTCTATGTAACTTGGCTTTATGTAACTTGGCCCTATGTAACTTGGCTCTATGTAACTTGGCTCTATGTAACTTGGCTCTATGTAACTTGGCTCTATGTTACTTGGCTCTATGTAACTTGGCTCTATGTAACTTGGCTCTATGTAACTTGGCTCTATGTAACTTGGCTCTATGTAACTTGGCTCTATGTAACTTGTCCAAGGGCTCCGCACGGAAAACCCTTCGCGATGCTTTCGGGAATACCGTTGCACTGCTTTCAACATGAGAATAGACATGTAACAAGTGTCTTGATGATCATAGAAGTTATAGAAGGGAAACCCCGAAAAGATGCTGAAATGAGGAAGGCATATTTTCAAGAGCTGAAGGAGGAAGCCTACACTTGTCCTATTTGCAATTATCAAACCAAGCCATACAAAAAAACACACGGCACGAAGGAGGAGCTGGACATAAGAAGTATCTCTCGGAATTCAAAGAACGCAAAAGAAGTGGAAGAGCTTGAGCAGACTAGCATTGACGAAAACAGACCAAAATGTCCATTCGTGCGCAACCTGCCACTACTATACTTCAGGAACATTGAATGGGCATGTAGGCAAGTATCATTGGAGGGCGGGTCGGCATGGGGGCTGAGTTTTTCAGATTCCTGGGGGCTGAGTTTTTCAGATTCCTGGGGGCTGAGTTTTTCACATTCTTGGGGGCTGAGTTTTTCCATTAAAAACACTAAAAAATACCAAAAATATACGATCAAGACCCGTGATCTCTTAGATTTATTGGGGTGCGTTTTTGTTTTTTCTGGCTGATGACATGCAAGCACAGATTCATTTTCGATCCAATGAAGACTCAGATGCATCCAGACCTGGAAAATGAGCTAGCTTCAATCTGCACAGAAGACAGCCTGTTGAGAACTATTTTGCACAAATATCATTGTTGGACACAAATATTTAGCAAACGTGTGTCTGTAGCTTATTTTTGGATAATTGGCACGCTTACGCATGCCAAGTTTGTAAACCTCAGGGTGCTAACTTTTGGAGACGTATGTTTGGCACAACTCTTCAACACAAGTTGCATACGTATGCAATATTTTGGAAGACGTATGCTTAGCAATCTGCAAGCAGATGTATGTTTGGGACAAATATTATTGTTGTGTTGCAATTCTGAAACACGTAAGTATGGCAAGCACAGCTTGCCACGCATATGAAATCACTTGAGGAGCGGGTGAACGAAAGCTAGCAGTTGTTGCATGAGATGGGTCGGTGACAGAGTGGATTCCTAGGTAGCTTATAGGTAGCTTGTGTACAACGAGAGGCCCGGCAAGATTCGTAGGATGCGACAAACGCACATGGTGGCGTGGCAAACCTTGAAAAATGAAAACAACGAGAGGCGTCAGAAGCTGTCTTAAAGCACCTCTGGGTTCTGCATGCAGCGTGTGCAAAGATTCTTGCGAGGTGGTTTACCGAGAAGACTGAGGTCTCAAGTGAACAAGCTGAATCGGTGGAACATGTAAAAGTTCGTAGCACCAAGTCCAAAACGGGCAAACCGAGACTGCTGAACACTGAGCCACTGCCCGGGGGGGGGGGGATGGACCAGGGAGGAATCGAGCCTGAGACCCGGGGGGGGGGGAGGGGGGGGGGGTCTAAATAATTGATATTTTTCAATCTTTTCGGCTCAAATAATTGAAAAAATCAATCTTTCGGCATTTGAGCCCCTTACCTTGCTTACGCAAGGAGAAACTTCAGCTAGCTAAAGCTAGCTTTCGTGATAAGAAAGGTAAGATATCACTGATCTATGCAGCTTTCAGCTGCAAGACTCATCTCTTTTTACAGTTGGATGTTCAATATTTTTCAATATACGCATGGGCTCTGCCCATGCTCTTGAGAAAAGACAGCTAACACAAACATATTTATCGCATACTGAGCTGGAGCAATTGGAGCACAGCTCCAATCTAGTTGCTTGAGCTCAAGAAGCACAAGATGCAAAGATGAGCACCTGCAACGATATCTGCAGATGCAAATACAATTCTCTGCATAAAGCTGTTCAGCTTTGGAATAAGAGCTTTGGAATAGGATTCTCTGCAGCTATTCGTGTTGCTGAAGAGCTCTTGCAACAGTAAAGCTGTTCAGAATAGATTCAAGTAGGCACAAGCCACAAGCAATTGCTTGTGATGAGATGTTACCTGCAGAAGATGAAATGAGAGATGAGATAAATTATCTCCAGTTACCTGGAGTTACCTGCAGAATATCTTGGAAGAGGCTTATGTTCTGTTGATACACATCTCATCATATTGATGTCTTGCATCAAGAAAGCTTGCATCAAGAAAGCATCAACAAAGTATTGTCTTCAGATGATGGGCTGTGTTTTTTGGTTTTCTTGGTGTTTATGAGCAAAGGCACCAAAAAAACAACCAAAAAAAACAAAAAACAGACCCATGGCCCTGAACTAGCAGATGCAGATGATGGGCTGCGTTTTTGTTCTTTTGGTTTTCTTGGTGTTTATGAGCAAAGGCATCAAAAAACCAAAAAACCAAAAAAAAAACAAAAAACCAGACCCATGGCCCTGAACTAGAAGATGCAGATGATGGGCTGTGTTTTTTTGGATTTTTTTGTTTTTGGGGTTTTTTGCTGAAAAAAAAACTCAGCCCCCAGGAATCTGAAAAAACTCAGCCCCCATGACGACCCCTTCTGTATCATTGAATATGTAAAATTGACAAACCAACATGGGTAATTTATGATCTTTTTCTTCACTCATTTTCTTGGCCCTATGTCAAAGCATTAAAATTGGTTTGTGAGCGGCGTGACGCGCGGCAAATTAGCGAAATCAAGTGCGTCGCACAGCATCTGGCGCCCGCACATAAACGACTACTACTACTACTACTACTACTACTACTACTACTACTACTACTACTACTACTACTACTACTACTACTACTGCCACCAGTAGTACTACTACTACTACTATTACTACTACTACTGCTACTGCTACTGCTACTGCTACTGCTACTGCTACTGCTACTGCTACTGCTACTGCTACTGCTACTACTGCTGCTACTACCGCTGCTACTACCACTACTCCTACTCCTACTCCTACTCCTACTCCCTACTCCTACTCCGACTCCTACTCCTACTCCTACTCCTACTTCTACTCCTACTCCTACTCCTCCTCCTCCTCCTACTCCTACTCCTACTCCTACTCCTACTCCAACCCCTACCACTCCCACTCCAACTCCTACTTCTGCAACTACTCCCACTCCTACTCCAACTACTACAACCACTCCTACTACTACTCCTACTCCTGCTCCTACTGCTACTCCTACTCCTACTCCTACTCCAACTCCTACCCCTACCCCTACTCTACTCCTACTCCTACTCCTACTCCTACTCCTACTCCTGCCCCTACCACTCCTTCTCCTACTCCTACTTCCTACTCCTACTCCTACTCCTACCCCACTCCCACTCCTACTCCTACTGCTACAACTACTCCTACTACTACTCCTACTCCTACTCCTACTCCTACTCCTACTCCTACTCCTACTCACTCCTACTCCTACTCCTACTCCTACTCCTACTCCTACCGCTCCCACTCCCACTCCTACTACTACAACTACTCCCACTCCTACTCCTACTCCTACTCCTACTCCTACTCCTACTCCACCCCTCCTCCTACTCCTACTCCTACTCCTACTCCTACCCCTACTCCTACTCCAACTCCTACTCCTACTTCTACTCCTACTCCCACTCCCACTCCCATACTCCTACTCCTACTCCTACTGCTACTCCTACTCCTAATCCTACCCCTACTCCTACTCCTACTCCTACTCCTACTCCTACTCCTACCCCTACTCCTACTCCTCCTACTCCTAGTCCTACTCCTACTCCCACTCCCACTCCCACTCCTACTCCTACTACTACAACTACTCCTACTACTACTCCTACTCCTGCTCCTGCTCCTGCCTCTGCCACGTACTGCTGCTGCTACTGCTTCTTCTGCCATTGCTGCTACTGCTGCTAGCTGCTACCTACTGCTGCAACTACAGCTGCTGCTGCTACTGCTGTCGCTACCACTGCTGCTACTAATACTACTGCTACTACTTCTGAAACTGCTACTGCTACTGCGACTGCGACTGCCATTGCTACTCCTACTCCTACTCCTCCTGCTACTACTGCTGAAAATTACTCCCACTCCTGCTGCCACTACCAATGCCACTACCACTCCCCGCAAAACAGTGTCAGGTCTTAACTAAAGCAGGCGCAAACTAGGCCTAGTTTGCGCCGTGTTTCCACCTTCTCTTGCCGAGCGTCCGAAGGTGGCCGGTTGCAGAGAGCTGCGGGCCTGTGCAGTTGATGAAGGTGGTGTGGTCCATCCACAAATCTCGGCCTTGCAACGTTGGCTCCAATACAAAAAAAACCGCACCCGGAAACCGCACCCGGTTCTTTGCAGTTAAAACACTTGCCGCTCTAGACCAAGTGTTGGGGGCAATGTTTACTAACAGTTGGCAAAGAGAAAAACGACACAAATTAAAGCGACCGCATTCCAGTGGTAGATTCTGGTCGCAATGGTGTTCCCCGTCTTCGAGGTCACGTTAACAAACTGCGCCTGGCGATCACTCAAGCTTCTGGGCCAAGATATGCTCTGCCAACGCTTACATCTGTAGACCCATCCTGAATCTCTGGAACTGGCAGCCAGTGGAATGCGCTGGATCGCGCAACAAGAACCGAGTACTGGAAGCGAGCCCGTCAAGGGCTTTTGTGAGCTCCAAGTACTTTTGCACTTAAGAGTTACGAGTCTTCCATGGGGCAAGCGGGAATGGAGCCGCAGACCGCGCGATTGCAAGAGCAACCGCGCAAACCACAAGACAAGTTCCCTTGCCAGCAGCAAATTAGAATGGGACTATATACAGCGAAAGATGCTGAGCAGAGGGCTGGCACCAACCGCGCTGATCAGGGTTGACCTGCGCATGACAAGTTGTGAACAAGCCCCAAGTCTTTCGACAGCGCCCACGCCGATCCTTGCAGCGGGTCGCACGGGCTCCGTTCTTTGACGTACACCACGCCAATTTTCGCAGTGGGCCGTAATCCCGTGCGGCGACAACAACTCCGCCCCCGACCTTGCAAAAGAGTCCTCTTACCGAGCTCTCCCACGCGCGATAAGAATCTTCTCTACTGCACAGATGTCTCTGCGCAAGTTGCAAGCGTCACTGCGCGGATGTCTGCGCAACTGACTTTGCGCAACTGACTCTGCACAGATGGCTTGGTCTGCTTAAGTGACTCTGCGCTGGGTCTGCACATGGCTCTGTGCAAGTTGGCCTGCGCAAGTGATTCTACGCAACTTGCTCTGTTCAAGTTGGTCTGCGCAGATGGCTCTGCGCAACTTTGTCTGTGCAAGTAGCCTACATTGTAGGGGCTTAGCAAAGCCAGGTAAATGTAGTTTTCAACTGCGCGCGCCCAGCGCAAGCCAAACAATTCCACACGGAGCCCACCTTGGCCCTTGAAAACTTCAAGCGAAACAGCCGGAGCCCGCCCAGTCGGCCTACTTGGAACCGGGGCCCGGCCCGGACCCGGCATGAACCCTTCACACAGCATAATGCTAGACAAGGGGGACAAAGCCAGTAAGCCCCGTATATATATATATATATATATATATATATATATGTATATATAACATATATTTACATATGTCTGTGTGCTCATATAGAACGGCTCAACATCAAAACCGTGCAACTCAAAAACTTGCAGTTTTCCCTTTCAGCTTCCCATTAAACCAAGAACCAGCCCTAAACCAAACCCTTACGCCAAAAAGCATCCCGTACTGACATTAAACCGACAACCACGCTGAGTCAAAGGCACGCACAGGAAACCCAAACTGTTGAAGCAATCGGCCAAAATGGCGGATATCCGCGCCGACAACTGCCCCAAATCGGGTTTGGTTTGTGGATCAGCTCAACCGCATCGAGTTTGCAGCCTTCCTTCTCGCCTGCGCCGCTGACCTCAAAGTTCTGGCAACCATAGCGCCCCCATTTGCAGCAGCAAACAAGTCGCGGAAGGTGTACACAGCACCCCTGAGAGCACAGCGTTTCAGACCCCCAAGTTGTCTTCAACCGCGGAAGGAACAAGGCTTACTCCGATCCCTGTAAAAGCGAATTAGTGGGCCCAACCCTGAAAGAGCATAGTTCCCCGTTTTGGTGCCTTTTCAGTAGCACGTCTCCAGGCGAGTGGAGAGCACCTCCAGTGTTCGCAGTGCATCCGTGGAAGTCCACCCCGCCACCGCCGCGAAACACAGGGCGGTTGAGCTGCTTCAGGCTGACCTGGCCCCACGAAGGGAAACAAGCCACAATTGGCTTTGATAATCCCCAGGCCTTGCCAAAGTGGGTGCCCGTCATGTCAACTGCGCCGCCTGTCTCGGCGCGACACTCCTGGAAGCTCATCCGGCCTTTTTGGCGAAGGCTGTAAACATTCACTGCTCCCCCACGAGGAGCTGAACACGAAGCAAAAGACATCCTCGCCAAGCTCTTCATTTTTTTGAACAAAATGCAACGGTTCCTGGCTCTGCGGTCACGATGTCGCCGCCAAGAAGACGTGCACTCCGTGAGGTCGCTTTCTTGGCGCAAGCGGAAGGTGTGGACTGCGCCGCCCGCGCTTGCAGCCCGGCAATTGACAAAGCTCATGTTGCCTTTGTGGTGCCTGAGGCTCTGGCTTGTGACCCCGCCCTTGTGAAGAAGCAAAGCGTGCTTGAAACTCCTACAAGATCCCGCCTCAACTCTTCCAGGCTCATGGCGCCCCCATGATCCGCAAAGCACCCTTCAAAACGTGCCTCCCCGTAGCCCATATAAGCCTCCGCCCGGACAGCCCCACCATCTCCGAAGCCCAGGCTGCCGCAATTTGTCACCTCCAAACGGCCGCGCTGCTCTAGAAATTGCTCCTCGACCTTGGCCGAAAGATGCCGAACGGCCAAGGGCACCCTTGGCGACTCAACAAAGGGCAAAGAATTTGCAAAAGGAATTGCCAAGAAGCGTAGATGCCACCGCCGCGGCCAAGATGAGAAACGCAGCTATGCAACGACATGTTCCCATAGAGCTGGCGAATGGAGCCGGTTGTGACCGTCAAGCCGCCTGAGACAGCGGCCACGCTGCCCAAAAGCCTAAAGAAGGGGAAATTCAAAACGCGCTGAGATACATCGAAATGAAGCAACTTGCTGGGTACAAAGCAACAAACAACCAAGAGAGTCTGACCTGAATAAAGATGCCCCAGAAGGCAAGCAGCGCACGCCACGCAGGAATCGTCATTGAGCATTGTGAAATTGGATTTGGGGCCACCAAAGTCACCAAAATAACACGCTGCCCTTCTAACGTTTGCCATAGCCCCGACGCACATCATATTGGGAGTCGTCAGTGGCAGTTGCGTGTTTCACACTCTGTGCGCTTTGCTGAAGCTTGTCTGACTTCGACGACTGGGCTGCTACGGCGATTTTGCCCACGCTGCCCGCCCTTCAAAGCCTGCGCAGCTGTCCGACTAAGCCCAAATGGCTGCAAGGAAAGGGGTCCTGGAAAAAATCCCCCAATCAGGTGGCCTGGACAACTGCAATGCTCAAAAGCGCCCGACTCACAAACTTGGTTGTCCACTCAATGCTTTTCCACCGCACATCATAGTCTTTGCCAGGTTTGCGCATCGCGACCCCTTTCAATCTTTCAAGTTGACCCCGGCACCTCCGATCCATGTCCAGCAAGACGAGCCCTCTGGGCACCAAGCAAACCAAGGCGGCGCTGCCCGAGAAACGCAACGGCAAAAGGACTGGCAAAAGCGCCATGCCTGCGACCCAACACGGAAATGGACCGCGGGGATATGCCCGCATGGCCGGTGGCCACATTGCCAGACACACAACGTCAGTCTTCACATGTCAGGCTCCGCTGCGCGACTGTACTGCAAAGGCGAACTGCAACAAGGACCAAATATCACAGCACCAGCTGGGAGGAGAAGATAGGGATCTTCAAACGCCTGATTCTAAAAGGTGCCTGTAAGCAGAAGGTGACAGTTTGCTCGCAGAGGGAAGCGATAAAAGGGGAAGTCCTGCTGTGTGATAAACAACAATGACTTCCCGACCAGGAGCAATGCTGCCAGCGGCTGAAGCAGTTGCATGATCGAAGTTGGCCTTCAAAAGCCGAGCTGGGCCACGAAGTGGGCCGAAAAGCTTTGCCGCCAGGTACTTGCGCTTGTGGACCAGTTCCTAGGCAACTTCCTTGCTGCACCCGCGGCATGCTCGGACCGGCCCAGGCTATGTGATCGGAATTGAAATAATGTTGTCCACGTACACCGTTCCCAGGTCTCTTGGATTCTGGCTGGAAGTGGTCAGGCAGCAAGGCATGGATCGTGATGCGTCTGGCCAGACTCGTTTCCTTGCTCCGCTACCAATGCAGCGAGAATAGCGCGGAGAGCGAACAGCACCAAGCCTATTTTAGCAAAAGGGCCCTTCAGCTGCGCAAGGGTCACTCAATGAGGTGACCCGGGCAACTGTGATACATGCATGTCATCAACTGATGCTCAAAGAAATGCCAATCTTGCAGATTCCCTTGCTTTCCTTTGGCTTCCCCCGCTCCATTGGTTTGCTCTGGTTTCCACAGGGGTCCCACTCATTTGGGAAATCACACCAAATTTTCTTGGACTTTTTGCTTCAAGCAGTGTTCCGGTTCTCCCCGAACTTTCGGAAACTCAACCGAAGCTCGCGGCCTCCGTACTGTGCGCTGCAGTTATGAAATCGTATGTGGCCACCCAGCTGGAGGAGGTTGTTGTGCAACCATGCACCGCCCCCTGCATGTGTAGCATGACAGTCCTGGATTCGGGGCATTCTGCCAAAAGCGGTGCCACACATGGAAGCGATCGAGGACAGCTGGTTTTTACAACCTGTGCGTTTCTATGCTACGGCAAAGTCACGTCAAAAGCTCATAACAAAGGACAAGCAAGAGTCCTCGAACACGACTTCGCCCCCCTCCATGGTGATATCCTTGACAACAGCGAGGCACCCTCCCCACTTTGCAGTCCCGTTGCGGAATGTCACGCTGCCGTTGCTAATGTTCATTGGCCCCTCCACATACAGGGCACCACCGTCATCTGTCTCCTTGCTCCCACAATTCAGGAATTCGATATCCTCACTTGCCCAAAGATCCCGCGGAAAGTAGTTCTGGAAATGACCGTGATCCGGGAAGACTCTAGCAAGGTGAAAATTGGATTTGACTGTCCCCTTGCTTAGGTGCGTACAAAGAGAGACCACAAGGAAAACCGAACTCCCATTTCTTGGCAAGCCTCAGGATTCACGAATTCCAAGGAGCCCTCCACATCCACACACCTGTGGCCTTCGGAAGCATCACGTGCCCTCCGGAAGATTATGGAGCCCTCTCAGGGTTTCTGGACTTCCCCTTCAAAAATCGTTGGGCGCAATTTAAACCCCCTCCAAAATGTGGGGAGTTGCGGACCCCATGCCTCTAGCCGCGCATTCTTGAGGAAGTGGATCTCGCCCTGAACATGCACCTCAGAGCCAGGTGCGCCCTTCAGCACACAGTCCTCCGTGTACTCAACCACCGCCGTAGTCCTGACAAACCTCCATCTGAGCCCTCGGATTCAAGGGTTGTGTGCCTCCAACATTGACTCAGTAGATGGGTTACGGCCAAACAAACCAAAATACAGCTTTAGACCACGCATGCCTAGAATAGACTACGTCATTTTCAAATGGCGGCGAGCGCTAGTTGCTGGAAGGACAAGCCACTCCCCTCCTGCCACAACCGCACAAATGGTTCAAGTACGTCCACAATGGAGAAGAATGCATGTCACAAGTTACACGCCAACCCCAAGCCTGAGACCTGCAAGTTCTACAACAGCTCCAAGACTTGAAATTATCATTGGATGCCCAAGTAAAGGACCTACATCCCAGAGGTTTTGCTGGAAAAAAGACCCAAAGCGCAGGAGTCGCAATTTAATGTGCAGAAAAATGCTTGTCGCGTGCTTACATCATTCTATCTGCTGGGCATGACCCAGGGTATCAAGCGTTGCTCACATATTGCTCTTGTTTAATGGGGCTGAACAGCTATGCGAAGTGACCCGAAGCGGCCAGGAGGAGGAAGGGCAAACCATGCCCGCGGTCGGCAAACTGTTTGCACCCTCACTTTTGACTTCAGGTCCTGTAGGTCCCGTCCAGGTGAACCACCCCGCCCGAGCAGTCAGGCAGTTGGGGGATGGAATGGAGCCGCTCAGCCGCTGGACGGCACAGGCAAGCCAGGAGCACCTCGCGAGCCCGCGTGGAGTTGGGTGAAAGTCGACTTGGGTAAGCCTCAGAATGGGCACAAGAGTTTTTGTTGAAAGTACGATTTAAAGGAAAACCAAAAGCAAACCCACCATTATGGGGGCGCCCCTAAACATAGACAGGCACAAAAATGGCAACGGTTTTTTCCTTTGGAATCAGCCCAAGCAGGATACCCTCACAAAGAGACACAAATGGTACAATTCCCTGCGGCATGATGACATTCTAAAGAAAATAACCAAGCCAAAATGGGCTCCTCAACTTTCACCCAAGTGAGTGTGAGCCCCGAGGGCACAGGGAGAGCAAAGCTCACGAGGTTTGCCCTCGTTGGGGCCCTGTGTGGGATCACATTCGGCATTTTTAGCGCCCCTACATCTGCCCCGAGCTGCTCATCTACCCTTCCGACATTGCCACGGAACAGGCCTGACATTGCCATGGAACCGGCCTGAGGTCCCGGTCTGGACAAATATCCTCTTGGGGGCAATTATCTCTGGGCTCCAAGATGGACGGAGGCGGTTCGATGGCTCTCGAAATACTGCGCCTGGAGCCAGGCCATCAGCAACTCGATGGAAGCATTTGCCAAACTATGACGGGTCGGTTTCCCGCCCCGAGCTGGCTCGCTTAGCTCGCAAACGAGCCACTGAGCCCGAAGGGGCTGAGGAAGCAGGCTGAAACCTTCGGTCAAGCTGGTAGCGATCGCTTTATTTGCTTTTGTTTTTTGTCCTTTCGGTCGGTCGGTTGGTTTGGTTTGCTTGCTTGCTGGTCTGCAGTGAGTCTGGAACTTTGTCTGGTTTGGGCACTTTCCACACACCCCAAGTACATCCTTGGCATGGGTGCTCCAGTGACCCTTGGCTCGCTCCATCTTAGATTGAGAAGGCAAACCCAACCCCTTGTGATAGTCCCTCCGCCCCGATTGGTGTGTGTTTTGTTGTTTGCTTCTAGGGTACGCTTTTCGGGGGCTGGTTTAAAGGGAAGCCGAAGGGAAAGCGTCTCTACTGCCCATGGCTTGACTTGACAGGCACAAAACCTTGGGGGAGGATTGCCAAAGGACCTCGTCACCGGGAAGCAGGACCTTGCCATCTTGAACATCCAAGTGTCTTTGAAACCAGCGGTTCTTGAAGCACCGGAAACTTTTCAGAAACAGATCGCGACGTACACAAAGGGCCCCAATCTGTGATCAACTGGCAGTTGCTCAGCTGAACGTAGGGACTGCGACCAAGCCGGAAAGGCTCTAAACCCTGGGCTGGGCTGCCAAGGCCCAGAGGGCTGCCATGGGCGAAACCGCCGAAAACGGTGAAACCGCCTGAGAGCCACAAGGTCAACTTCGGACAACAAGGACACTGGGTGGCTCCCCTTAGGGAATATTCAGCTCCTCCGGAATGATTCATGAATGGTGCCAAGCATGTCGAATATGAACGAACAAATGATGCCTACGTGGGCGTTTGGCCCGAGAGGTGTCCGTTCCATCATTCACCAAGTTTCCCTGTCCGAGAGGATCCTGAAGAATAGCGGGACGTCTCTAACTAGGTTGGAATTGCTTCAGTAGATGCTTGACAACTAGTAAAGTAACCACGAAATCAGCGAGCTCTACATGTCCAGCCTGGGCTGGGGTTTCTGGTATGGTTCCGAAAACAGGCACAGCCACCAGGGAGATCCTGAGAGGCTCCAAAGACCATGGACTTCGTAAAATTGAGACTAAAAAAAAGGATGCCCAAAGGCTGGTCAATTGCAGCCTACACAAACGGGGCAAGCCACACCTTGGAAGCTGCCTGTGGAAACGCAAGGATACCCAAGGAAAGCATGTGTTTTCTCAGGGCTCGCAACCCTTGGCATGGGCCACATTGGTTGCATTCACGGGCCAGGCTGAAGCAGCTCGCCCCGTGCAGCAAAAAAGGGCGTCGACCGAAGAGCGGCGGTTTACGAAGAGGTCCCGACAAGACCCCACAACCTACCTGCAATCCGAAACAACCAGAAAACAAATGGAGGCTTCACGTGATGGAAAATGGCTGCTTGGGAGTTCCCAAACAACCATGCTTAAATGGTCAGTTATCCAAGCCTCCAGGTAAGCTCATTTGGAACCACATGCTGAAATGTCACTTTGAAAACATAACTCAAATTGGCTCAAACCAATGGAGCTTTAGCTGGAAACGGCACATGAGGAAACTCCAATTAGACCCATTCCAGGTGCTAATGCAAACAAACAAGCCTGGTGACAAGGGTCCTGTACTTATCAAGTTCCAGTGGGAGCTTTAGCGTGACAAGCGGCCGCCCCGCTTTTTCCTCACGGCGCGCAGTAGGCTCCGGCTGCACCTTGCCAGTCGGACTCCAACCATGGAGGAGCTCAGGAAATGAACCAACTCATGACCTTCAACAGCTCAGCCCCCAAAAAAAAAACAAAAAAGATAGGGATTAGCATCCTCTTATCGGCAGCTGCTTCAACCGCGCCTTCAAAAAACGCACACACACACACATGGCTCTACCGCCCTTCGCCCCAAGGCTCTTGCTCAGGGTCATGAGGTTAAGGCCAGCTAAGGCCTTATTGGAGGCAATTCCCGCCCCGCTTGAAACTCGAAGCCTTCGTCCCCTTCTGCCCACAAAGCGGGCGTGGACCGAGAAAGGCCCCTTGCCCCATACATTACTAAGGCAAGTAGCCACAACTGCTGGAGCAATCAGCCGAACGCCGAGAACTACGAAGGCCCTCTGTATCTCAATAAGTTTGTCTCCGTGTCCCTCTCTCCCTCACTCCTGCGTCTTTCTCTCGAGGTGTCTGTAGTTGTTTATTGCTTGCATCGTGTGTCTGCATGCGACAATATGGCTGTACGTATGTTTTATGTTTGATTGTTTTTCTGTACTTCTGTCTTTCTCTATGTATGAATGTGTTTTCTTTAATTATGTCTTCATTGCTTTCCTTATTGCTTTGTTTGCTCTTTCTCTATTCACGTTTGTTACGTTTCTTTATATGCGATTGCTTTATGTCCTTTCGTTCCTTCGTTCCTTCCTTCCTTCCTTCCTTCCTTCCTTCCTTCCTTCCTCCCTCCCTCCCTCCTTCCTTCCTTCCTTCCTTCCTTCCCTTCCCATTCTTCCCTTCCTTCCTTGTGATCTTTCTTTATTTATTCAGGCATTAAGTTATGTACTTGTGCATTCATTTGTTTATCTATTTGTGTGTTTAGTTGTTGTGTCTATGTGTCTGTATCTATGCATTTGTTTATGGTTGTTTTCTCACTGTCTTTGCTTGTTTGCGCCTTTCTTTATGTATGTATTTATGTCCTTCCTTATTTGCTTCTATCTTTCTTTCAGCAATCCTTGCTTTATGTCTTTCTTGCGTTCTGCATTTTCTTGATTCATTTCTTTCGTTATTCATTCCTTCCTCCTTTCTTTCTTTCTGTCCTTTTCTATTCTGTTATTTTCTTTTCTTTTCTTTCATTCATTCATTCATTCTTTCTTTCTTTCTTTCTCTGTCTGTCTGTCTCTCTTTCTCTCTGTCTGTCTCTCTGTCTGTCCCTCTGTCTGTCTCTCTGGTGGTCTCTCTGTCTGTCCCTCTGTCTGTCTCTCTGTCTGTCTCTCTGTCTGTCTCTCTGTCTGTCTGTCTCTCTGTCTGTCTGTCTTTTGGCTGTTTGTCTGTTTGTCTGTTTGTCTGTTTGTCTGTTTGTCTGTTTGTCTGATTGTCTGTTTGCTCTTTGTCTGTTTGTCTGTTTGTCTGTCTGTCTGTCTGTTTGTCTGTTTGTCCGTCTGTCTGTCTGTGTCTGTCTGTCTGTCCGTCTGTCTGTCTCTGTCTGTCTGTCTGTCTGTCTCTGTCTGTCTGTGTCTGTCTGTCTGTCTCTGTCTGTCTGTCTCTCTGTCTCTCTGCTGCACAGTTGTAACCTTTTCAATCCTTTGCCTTGCCCGTGGGAGCGGGTTGCTCCACCCCACCCATTTACCCACAACCTGCTTGGAAGACATAGGTTGGCCATCCTAGCACTCGGTTCATCACTTTTGGAGGGGACCACCGGCCTAACACGACGAGTTTATTCATCCGGC